GCTGGTGAAGAGGAAAGGTTGGGCATGAGGCTAGCAACCCCATCCTGTAAAATAAAGACTGCTACAGAAACTTCAAGCCCCTAGCTTGAAGCCCTGTGTTCCACTGGGGAACGTGAAGGAAAAAAAATTTAATAAAAGGTGCTGAAGCACTACAACTATGAAGTATTTTGCAGTTTGACTGACTGCTTTGTTTCATTACAATACTATTACATGCTGGTATAAATAACGCTCGAATTCTACAGATATTTTATAAATACTTCGCATTTTCAGTGTATTACTAATTTATTCAACCCGATTTATTATTACTAATAAATTCAAATACATGCCCGGGCACTCGTGATTTATACAAAATATTCCGAACACTCCGTGTTTGTTTGTAGGACTAAACAGCTTTAGAAAATGAAAGTATTCACATAGATTTCGTTTAATGAAATATTAATGCCATGAAATTATTCTTACTTGAACGCCCACCTGGGAATTTTGATCAAATAATCTGTACTACTTACAAGTAGTTAACGTTTCTATAATAAAAATATCGAAAATATTGGTGGTTGTGTGCGTAGCCTGCAAAACAATAAGCAGTTATATCGCCTGGAACTAAAGTGAAATTATTTATTATTTTGGAATGAAGTGACATTTCGAATAGACAGTAAAATCTGACCGCCTCGATTTGGTTAGTAAGCACAATTGGCAGACATGGGTGGCATAAAGCTACTCAACACAATCAAACACTACTACATAGTTTAATGAATATATGTTTGCTTTCTTGATTACTATTTATGGTATCAAGCAGATAAAATACTGTGATCTGCAGAATACTGTGATGAAATCTTACCTCCTCGGACTGTGTTGATTGCAAATGGCTAATTAATTTACAAAGAATTTGAACAAAGCAACAATTACAGTTTTAGCAGAATAAAATGGTACCATCTTTTATTTCGTTGCCTTCTCGTCAGCTGCTTACAGGGCAAGCACATTATTAAATGTATCTACAAAAACAATTTAACAAACTTGCACAGAATTCATTTTAAACAAAAATCAATCGATTAATATACGCATACACTAATAATATATATATATATATATATTAAAAAGACAATTGCAGCGAAGAAAATTTTCTTTTCGACGAAGTCATCATCTAGGCTGTACATTCGTATATTTATATCAAATGGATGGGAAAGTTCCAATCCGTTCCAAAGAAAACACTTCGGCTTATCTAGAATTCAAAGGTGATATTGAAGCAGAAATCCTTCGCAAACGCCTCTGCAAATCTCTTAGGAAAACATACTTCGCCGCGAGCCTACGACTGACGTTTTCTTGCAAGAAACTGTTCAGCCAGAACGTGAAAGACAAGCCGTCGCATTGGACCACCTCAACGTGCATGTACCAGTTTACTTGCTCTTATGGAGCTGAGTACATCGGCCGTACCATGCGCCGACTTGGAAAACGCGCTCGCGAACACTACCCAGCCTGGCTAGTAAAAGGAGAGCGAAAACGTGCATACAGTTCAGTGACAGAACATCTGGTCAACTCAGGACATTCAGCGCCTTTCGAAAAATCCTTCAAAGTAATATACAAAATTCAATCAAACCTATCAAAGGGAGTGAAATCAAGACATCTGGGCATAGCTGAAGCGCTAGCTATCCAAAAGATCAAACCCACGCTTTGTATCCAGAAGAATTACGTCCAACACCTCTTCCTGCCATGGCCATCATAAACAGGTAAAATTTTTTAAGTAAGGACAATCTCATCGCCTTTCTTATCTAAACTTCGTGTTTATTCATGTTATTTTAAGTTTTCTTAATCCCTGTCTACACTACCATATTTTCATATCCACTCTTCCTGTTTATTTTGTCATTTTACTATTTCTACATATTTAATCCCTGATTGCATAAACAATTATTCATCATATTAGTTTTTTATCCAAAAATCCTGTATATTTTGTTATTTCTACATTTCTAACCCCCAATTGCACAATGTCAACCTTCTTAGTTATTATAATGCTACTTAGTTCGAGTTTTATCCGTCCCCCTGTTTATTATGGCATTCTAATTCCTAATTGTAATTTTTATTAATTTGACCCTTAACCGGAAATTATTCTGGAACTTTCCCACCCATTTGATATAAATACACGAATGTACAGCCTAGATGATGACTTCGTCGAAAAGAAAATTTTCTTCGCTGCAATTGTCTTTTTAATAAATCCTATGACCCAATATATATATATATACATATATATATGCAATATTAAACATAATTCCGAACAATAATAATCATACACAGTGAAAAGTTCTCAGCATCTCGCATTCGGATGAAAAATATCGAGTTACCAGGGTAAAAAGAAAGACTGATAACCGCTTCTTTCTGGACGCACAAATCAAGTTTTAGGCACTTGATGGAAATGGCTTCAGCAAACTTGAGGAGAATTGAGCTCCTCTGCCTACCGATATTTTTGAACGATCTTGCGACGTCCACCTCATGACCCGTGTCAAGAAGAAGCCTGGCGATAACGCAGTTTAAAGCATGTGTTCCCTTTAGACGTAAGCTTTTTGGTACATGTTTAGAAAATCGTAGATATGCACTTTTTTCTGTTCTTCCAATTTAACTGCTCCCGCAGATACATGTAAATTTGTATATACAGTTGGAGTTAACATGAGAAGGATATCTATCGATTTTTGATTGCACCAAAGAGCAAGTTGTTCGATAGACGGGAACGAGCTTAGCTGCAGGATAGGCTATGGCTAGTGATGTGCTCAGCCTTCTGTTGATCATCGCTGCAATGTTTTCTCCTTTATAATCAAGCTGAAAATAGACTGGCTTTTTTCTTACTGTGATTTCTTTTTCATTTGCGACTTCAGATCTTCCATACTTGTTGATGAACCTTTGAGGGTACCCACTGCTCTTCAATGTTTTGTCAAGAAACTCAAATTCTTCATCTAATTTCTCTATAGAGAATATTCTCCTCGCTCCATAGTACAGAGTCTTGACAAGTGCTCGTTTATAGCTATTTGGACAAAAGCTATTAAAATGTGCAATTTACAATGTTTGGATCTAAGTTTTGGTATGACGATTTCGTCCAAGTACCTAGCCAGAAATCGAATGTTTTTAACTGATTCAGCTCTCAGAGCTGAGTCAAACCGGCTACACTTCTAATGTCCTATGCCCTAAACGACCAAATCAGTTGTCTGATATTAAGGTGACTTCGACAAGCAGGATCTCATGTACTACTGGTTGATGTGATTGGTATAGAGGTACTCATCTCACTTAATCAGTAGTATATAATATGACGTAAATATGTGACTTTAACGTACATTTACTTCTTCTGTCAGCTGTTCTCCACATCATCTGCCAACCCGCAAGGTGTGTACATATTTATCCTATTTGAAATGTTATCAGCAGACTAATTTTTTTAGAGTAATAATTAATTTCCTGAAGAGTTGAAGTAGGACAGCATATACTACTGATGGATACAAGTAACTAGAAATCACACACTTTGAAACTGTGAAGCCGCCTAACGGTGTTCATTTCACTTAGATCTACCTAGTAAGCAATTCTATCTGGTCTTGATGTTACCCAGCTGTTCATATTTAATAGTAGGTTACACAATGTTACTACATTACTTATAGTTTTAAATTGCTATTCGTCTTATCCTACATATAACCTGTGGTCATCTGTTGAAGAAAGATTTTAGATTCAAAGGCACCTTTGAAAAGAAATTTCTAACCAAACATTTTGTATGACAGAGAGTAGATCACTTTTCGAATTTTGATGATTCTACTACACATAGTCGTCCTTTAAAGAAAATATAGATGCGTTAGCTGCTACGATAGCTAATATTTTAGTCTTCCAGGACTTGATTTTCCTCCACTACAACTATATACTACAGATTGATTGAGATGCGTACTTCTATACCACTCACATTAACCCGTAGTACATAAAGAGCATCTCAAACAAACTACAGACCTTCATCAACAGCTGCCTCCGCTCAATACTCAACATCAGATGGCCAGAAAATATCAGCGATAGGGACCTGTGCAAACAAACCAACTAGGAACCGATTGTGAAACAAATAGGCAGGAGGAAATGGAGATGGATTGGCCATACTCTGAGGAAACCATCAAGTGACATCACTAGACAAGCCATTGCTCGAGTGGAACCCGAAAGGGAAGCGGCGAGTTGGTCGTCAGTGCAAGGGTGACTTGGAGGAGGTCATGTGAAGAGGAGATGAAAACGTGTGGGCAGACATGGAGCCAGGTGAAGACTCTAGCAGAGAACCGAACGCAATGGAGACGTTTGGCTGAAGCCCTATGTTCCTCTAGGAATTAAAGGATACAATAATAATAATAATAATAATTCAATTGGGATTGATATCGTCTTGAAGTCAAGTCAATTTGATAAACCTTTTCGTTTGAAAATCTATCAGAAAATTCTCCGAAGAAGCCGTCAAAGTGTTCAAGAGACGTTTACCCTTAGAGATCATGTCAGTCGAGAAATACAGAGATAACGCAGTCTTTATCCACAACTAAGCATTTTTAGCATACTTTTATAACTGAATATATTTGGCTCAACTTCCAGCCCGTTAAACAACATGTGACTTACAGATTTATGGAAAGCGTTAAAAAAGCAGTACTCCCTGAACCTGGAAATAAAATTTTTCTCGCCATACAATTTAAAATTCTTTGATATGTAATGATATCTAGAGGCTGGAACCCTTTATTGCCATTACTCTTATCATTATTTTTCAATACACATTCGAATTATAAGTAAAATGCCTTGTATTTTCTAACCATGGAGTTTGTAATATTTTGCGAATTATTTCAAAAATATTCTAAGTGAAATTTCCTACTTTTATCAGCTGTGAACCTGATTTATGTTAAATAACTATGAAGCCGTCTAACTGTTATCAAAATATCAATAATTCATTTATATGTCGGTGATTTGTAATCCTCAATATTTAAACAATAAAACCCTCCAATTAACATGTCTATTTTTGTTTTTAGGTTCTAGAGAGACGGCTTTCCTTTCATCTACTTGGTCAGCTGGTGTTGTACAGGCAATAACGCGTGCTTGCAGTCGCGGTCAAATGGGGACATGTGACTGTGATCCATATCGACGTGAAGGTCAGGGTCGAGATGCTGAGGGCGTATTCACTTGGGGTGGATGCAGTGATCCGATAAGATTCGGTATGCGATTAGCACGCTTATTTCTAGATGCAAACGATGAAGAACATCGTAATGCTGCTTTACAAAGGGAACAAGAATTACACGAGCAAAGAATTCAGTTATTAGCTTCAATGAGGCTTAATAATCATGAACAACAGAATCAGAGAAGATCCCAAAGGGTGCATCGATTCCCTCGTTCGTCAAATGACTCCACGTCTAATCAGCCTTCGAATAGGTCTAATTCTATTCTTTCACCTAAAGAATTACAAGCAGAGACACTACAAATTATTCAAACAAAAGCAAGAACTTTAATGAATCTACACAATAGAAAAGCTGGAAGAAGAGTGAGTATTTCGACTTTTATAGCGTGTTGTGATTTTGTTATTATATGCATCCATTCCAGAAATTGTTATTCATTAGACTGATGTAAATTAGCCCCCTGGGGAAACCAAATTAAAAGACAGTGGGAATTTACAGAAAACTAAGAAGAAATGACGATCAGAATTATTACTGAGGTTGATGTTGTTAAGGTTAGATAATCTAAGATGATTTCAAGTTTGGATCACGGAATGATATCACTTTGAAAACCACTAAAGACCAGAGAGTACTGGACAGTTGTTCTAGCCCAGTTTTAGACCCTCAGGCAGTACACACATGCCCCCACTTGTGATAAAAACCAAGCCCTACAGGACACTAGGGGAGCTTAATGGCTATTCGCTTACTGGGACAGAATACAACTGCCCATGAATCCACCAGGCTGGATGGCAGGATAAACACTCGCTGGTGATACTGACTGGAAGTTGTGCTATATATTGTATCGTAATCCGAAGGTCATGGTGAGGGCATGGGTGCACGCTGTTGAAGAGTTCCAAACAAGGGTGAAATGACCGTCCAGTACTCCTAATTTTTGAATAATTCCCTAACTGGTGTCAATTTTCGATCAAACCTAAAATCAATCAAATCCCTACAAACTGATGCTTGAAGATCTAAGATGAGTTAAAATTTAATAATCATTTTTATTTTTCAATCAAAATGGAGGGTTCGATACGGCAATTGGTTGAAGACTTGAATCTATAGCATATACCATCTACTTACCCAATTCATCTGTGAACTGAAGGTGTTTTAACTTCACGTGTCTCCAGGGAAGTTAGGGACCCACATTTTAGAGTAAATTTCCAGTACATTGGAAAGTCTCAGCCTTTCGCACAATTCTGTAATGAATACCATTCGGACTACGCTGAATTTTAAAAAAATGAGTATCTGTTGCAGCACTTAGGACTGAGTTTGTTGCTATCAGTATGCATTATTACTGCTCTCTTGGGTTCTGAGTGAAACGTAGGGCTTCAAAAGAACATTTCTATTTCATTATGTTCTCTGCAGGCCTATTCGGGTTCCACTTGACTGCCTGGAATGTGGTGTTAGCTGATGATCTCCTCAGAGTGTGTTTGTTCCGTTTCCCTTTTCTTCAGTATATTTGTTGAACAACAGGTTCTCGTTCCCAGAGTTTCTTGTTGATACTTCTTTCTCAGCTGACCATCTGATATTCAGCATGGAGCCAGAGAAAACAGCTGTTGTTGGCAGTCTGTAGCTTGTTGGAAGTGCTTTTCGTGACGCGCCAAGTTTCTGACACATAGTGTGGATATATTTGTTCTAATTGGAAAGGAGAATTGCTAACATTGAAGCAGAAACTATAAACCAGAGTTGTTAAAATATTCCCATTATATATATGCTAGACAAATCACCGCATATTACTAATGACGTATGTTTTTAGTCAAATAATGAAGAAAGCCGTTTAGTGGTTCGAATGTTTGATATCTCATCATATTACTGAGTTTTATATAACATCTAGTTTCACAGCTAGTGTTTTAATTATGCGATTCACTGAAGGCAGATCAAATGGTATGCACTTGAGTTTGGTAATTAAACAAGTTTTAGTTAGAGCCACATTTATGCCCTTATTCATTGTCTGTGATGCAGTGTCAACCTTTCAAAGTAAACTGGACAAAAGATGGCTTTTCCTGGACTATAGTAGCATTTATTTCATTATCATAACTTATTCCGCACTGGCGTATAAACTTCTTTGGATAACTGCTTTCAGACAGATGCTTGTTGAAAAGGGCAAGCTTGTCAGATGGCATACCTTAAACGCCAAGGACTTTGCTCCCACTGAGACAGTGACCTGACCAGTCTCACTGGGCAGAATTTAAATTCTATCAAAACCGGGTACACCGTTAATGAGCTTGGCCTCAAATGGGCGAAACGCTGATCTGGTGATTAGATCACTACGATCCGACTGGCAGGCAGGCGGGCAGGCATCACTGGTTGGCATGAGGGCTATACAACTACTCATCTCAGTCAATCAGTAGAATACAGTCTTGCGTAAAGATAAAGTTTCAATGCATAATCTTAATATTTTCAGATAATCTGTAAGCTTATCGTTCATTTAAGTCAATTTTGATTTACCAACTGATTGACTAAACTGAAAGTGTTGGTCTCTATTGATATGTAGGCACTTCTCCCAGGCGCTTAGACAATGTTTGAGAATTAACACAAGGTAATCTGGTGGGTAGGGACTAGCAGTGGATGCCAGTCGAGTCTCAGTGTGAACACCATTAAATAATGGGGAATACAGGTACATCCCATTGACGAGTACTTATTATTATTATTGTTTCCTTTAATTCCTAGAGGAACATAGGGCTTCAACCACACGTCTCCATTGCATTCGGTTCTCTGCTAGAGTCTCCACCTGGCTCCAAGTCTGCCCACACGCTTTCATCTCCTCTTCACATGACCTCCTCCAAGTCACCCTTGCACTGACGACCGACTCGTCGCTTCCCTTTCGGGTTCCACTCGAGCGAAGGCTTGTCTAGTGATGTCACTTGATGGTTTCCTCAGAGTAGGACCAGCCAATCCATCTCCATTTCTTCCTGCCTATTTGTTTCACAATCGGTTCCTGCTTGGTTCGCTCCCAGAGATCTCTGTTGCTGATCTTTTCTGGCCATTTGACCTTGAGTATTGAGCGAAGACAACTGTTATTGAAGGTCTGTAGTTTGTTTGAGATGCTCTTTATGACGCGCCCCTTCCTCTGATCCGTATAGTAGCACTGACCCAATCCAATACTACGATTCAAACAAACTCACAAAATATCATGCCGGATCGGTCGGGGCCCGGATTAACAACGACCGCGCTTCCTGCTGCTGTGTCACAGGGCAGAAGTGATAAATATGCTACTGAGACACACCAAACAAGAAAGAACAAACAAAAACAGGCCGCGTGTGACCGGCCTCAAGCAGTTGTCCCATGGGCTCTGCGGTCACGCAACACTAACCTTTTCTCTCTCCCCTTCTCAGGCGTGAGGCTTGCAACCCCACCCTGTAAACAAAGCTGCTACAGGAACTTCAGCACGATGAATCTCCTGACGATTTCTAAATAAGATGAAACGCGTATCCTGGATCCCACTGCTAGTCACCATCCACCTAATTTATAGGCCTATTTCATGTCTTTGCAGAGTGCAAAAATGCCGTGCACATACATAGCATAAAAACTAATTTCATTCTGTTCACGGATAAATTTTCAGTGTGCATGCCAATAAGAATAAGTTTAGTGGGACTTATCATGGCCACCCGGTCAGTTTGCCTATAAGGTACACTAGTGAGTTAAAAAATATGTCCATCACTTGGAATTTCATCTTGTCTTCTCTTAATAACAGGGTCAGTTCAGAATGGCTGCAAATAATCTAGATCGTTTCGATCATAAAACAGTTGGTGGGAGAACATGAAACATTTCATTTTTTTCTATCCCCGATCATCATTTTAAAGAGTGGACTTGGGATCCTTTACTTAAATTTTATTGGTAAGGGGGGAAATTAGTTTAGCTTATGATCAAAGTGACCAATCAAAGTGAGGTGCAGAGGGAGAACGTATAAAGGCGCACATATGACTTATCATGAATAACACATTTAAGCGAACAATCTCATTAGGCTTAAGTTAAACACAAGTGTTCACAGGAAACCCACACACTCAAACAGATATTTAGACTTCCGATCATCCCATCCTATGTCAGTGAAAATAGGATTGGTGAAATGTTTAAATGACAGAGCACAAAAACTAAGTAGTACTAAAGAAAATCTAAAACAGGAACTGATGCACATAAAAGAAGCCTTGAAACTTAATAATTACCCGGATAAATTAATTAGGAAATATGTAAGGAAATGCAAAAATAAAATAAATAATGATAGTAGCGATAGTGATCATAACAATAATAATGATAACGATAATAATGATAATAATAGTGATAATAGTAATAATAATAATGACGACACCAACAATAATGAATCTAAATCATCAGTAGTAATTCCATACAAGGAAGGAACCTCGGAAGCCTTACGCAGAATTCTTAACAAGGCAGAAATAAAAGTGGCATTCAAACCCACAAACTCAATTAGAAACAAGCTTTGTCGGTTAAAGGATCCTATAGAGCCTTTGAAAAAAAAACAATTTAGTTTATCTAATACCCTGCTTGAATGATTGTCAGGTCAAATACATAGGTCAAACTAGTAGAACAGGGGCAGTCAGACTAGCTGAACATAAAAACTTAGCAAAATCTAGATTGGTTGACCCGAATAAAATAAGAAATCTAGAGAATAGTTCAGCTATAACACTCACTACATGCAGTTACACACAACCATACAACAGGGTGGGATACGATGACAGTTTTAAAATCTAATGTCACAGGGTATAGGGAGAGATTGATAACAGAAGCTTTGTTTATTGAATCAACCGCAAATACATGTATTAGGAATGATTTAACACCTGTCGCAGATATCTGGAAGATTCCACTACTCCAACGGCGACAAATAGGAGAGAACAAAGGAAACTATAAAACTCAAGTTTCGAAGTCGTGTGATTACAATTGAAATGATTATGAACAATAAATTTTGTTCGAAACGTCATCCAGTAAATAATACTGTTTCACTGTGTGATATATCTAATAAACAAACTAATATGGAATTACTTACTACCACAGTGCCCAAGTTTTGCACATATACTCATCAGGCTTAACTCTAATATACATAACTTCACAAATAAAAATTCAAATATAAACCAATCATGGTGTTTTGTCTATAGGGTAATAAGATGGTGAATATAAATTGTGCAGTTAGTTATAATAGTAGAATGATAATAATAATAATAATGGTCTTATCAATAATAAGGATGAAAAAGTGAGGCAATCAGTGATAACATGAATAATGAAAAACAGCATGATTAAACAAACATCATCACTCACTGGGAAATGCAAGTACATCCAGCTAACGAACGAGTCCCAAATAGGACGAAACGCGCAT